TCGAGGCACAGAAGCTACGCCTCACGGTGAGGCGGGCCTCAACAGGGTTTTTTCATACCATGCAAGCAGTGTAGATATACAAATTTGAATTTAAATTTGTAGAAGGAAATTGTGACCGAGTTCTTGAGAACTTTAATCAAACCATAGGACATTCTTGTGGACTGAGAAAATGCTTAAAAATATCTGATTTTAACGCTTGCTATAAAATTCTACTGTCTAAAATATTAAGGGAGTGATATATTTTATTTGGCTTTTATCAGTCTTTTCTTTCTTCATTGCTTTGAGTGCAAAGTTGAACTTAGGCAGCAGCCTACTTATGTGAATTATTTTGCGTAATCAGAAATTTGGCAAGAGTTCCTCAATACTTTGGCAAGAGTTCCTCAATACTGTCTTCTATATATTTGTACGACTTTCAACAAGTACTTTGGTGTCTAAAGGTCATGCGGTTTTAGTGCAATTATGCAATCGAAATTTCAGTTTTCCATGGTTGCATATTGTAAGCATGCTAATTGAAGTTATACTCTTTGTTTTACCGTTTTCTATTCCAGAGAATTTGTACAATGTCTTTTTGAACATTAGAGATGATGAAGCAGAGCATTGTAAGACAATGAAAGCCTGTCAGACTCATGGAAGCATCCGCTCTCCTCACTCGTATCCAGACGATGCACGGGATAATGATTTGGGTTGTATAGTTCCTGAGGCAGACTGTGAAGGCATTGTAGATTGTATCAAGAAATCTGTCAAAGACTCCGGTGCAAAGAAAAAGTGATGCATAATAAGCAACAAAAAGAATCGATGAAATTTTAACGTAGTTGAATATATATTTTCTAAAGGAAAATCATTTGTACGTGCATGTATAGCCAAAAACAAAAAAGTACTATATTTTCTTGGCCTGAAAGAATATAGGTATACCGGAAATATCATTCTTCATACTTGAATTTTGTGAGGGGTTTACCTTTTCAATAATTGTATGCAATAAGTAGTCCCATCTTATACACACATCAATTGTGATAAGAGTTCATTAAATTATCTTTTGATCATCTTGAAGTTAGAGGATTTTCTTAATTTAGTGTCCATGATTAGTTAGTTTTTCGTCATAATCAAGAGAAATGGCGAGGGAAATCATTGTTGTTTGATATTGATATGACAAGATCTGCTTCTCGTCCCTCATTTTGAATAATATTGAACACAGACATATATCTGAAATTAATCGATACTTAAAGATCATAGATGACATGTGGAGATTACAAGGTGGACGACAGCTAGGGCTTGATAGGCTATATAGATGGGTGATCTGGCTCTACATCGTAATCTTGCTTTTGGCAATTCTTTTACTTTATAAACTACAATTAAAAAAAGAAGTAAAATTAAATTATCGAAAAAAATCTTATTTAAAATAACTTATAGAAATCATGTAAAATATGTTTGGAAAGTGTTAAATTATAAATCAATATAAAAAGCAATTTGACGTGTAACCGTGACCGACGCATATGCCTAGGGCTTGTATGAGTCTATTTTTTTGCAAAATGCAATGCAAAAAATGTATTTTTTAATAGTATTATGATGGAAAATGTGTGATTAAAAGATAAAGAAAAATTTTGAATTTGTGTTTAATA